CATCTCAGTCCAAAAAAGGAGATGCTGACCCCAGATGATACCTGAACAAAGATGGCACCATCCTTCTGGACAAAAAAAGCAGATTAAGGCATTGACAGTGAGGAACAGTGATCTATGTAAGAGGTTATAAACACCTGTAAGTGGTACATTTGCACATTACTTAAAATGCATGTACTTACCTTAAAAAACATGCTTTGTCCACTTGAAATTCTCAGAGTCCACCCAGTTCAAATGCACCTCAATAGGACATGCTGCGTCCAAAGAAATGCATAACAATGCAGAACAAAGCAGGTCAAACACTCATGCAAAGCAGGAGCAAACACTGTCTTGTGGACTGCTCAGTTAAAAAGTCAACAGAATTTTTCTGACCTGTGTCTGAAGTGCAGAAAAACATCGCCCATCAACATGCACCCTTACACTGTTGGGAGCCAGAGATGTGAACACGGCCTAAACAAGAAGGTTTTCCTTCCCATGCAAGATTCAGTATTAAGTTATGCTCAAATTTTACTAAAAGTAATCATTTAGAAAAAGTATTAATATACAAAAAAAGAAGAGTCACAGCATGGTGCAGGATTTATTTTTTTTGCCATAAAAAGACGTTCTCATCTTAGAATCCACTTCTATTACTTCTCATTAACACTGCAAAATTTGTGTCAAGAGCAAAAGTAAGTAGTGGTTTTCAGACGTTACCAGCAGATTAGACATTTTTGCTAACAACAGATTCTTGCTTTGACATTCTAAAATTTTTTGTACGTCTGCTGCCGTTAACAACATTCGGAAAGTCACTTCATAAGCATATTCTGACACACTGAATGTACAACAATGTATAATCCCCTTAGCTCATTATCAACTTAGGAAAAATCCTGCACTTTAGCTTCCAGATTTTCTTGGTTTAGCCTGAAGTGAGGAAAATATCTCCCAGTCCAGACCAAGGAGAAAGTTAAAGAGCCACTCAGCTTGGTCCACCCAGGAACATGGCAGGAATGGAGATGACATATCAGAGTTCCAGAGGAGCGTAGATATCTCATTTGGAGGAGTAGCAGGAAGAAAAAGTGGCAACACACCTGGATTGCAATAGGGATGGTATATGTTCTGCAAGGGAAAGGAACAAAGATGTCGGCTCAATAGGAATTCTGCAGATCCTAAACCAGCAGAGCGATGTGCGTAAAGAAATTACTTTTCAAAGATTTTCATTCCTCTTCCTGCATTGAGGAAGACCCTTGCCATCTACCCAAACCGAGACCTCAGTAGGAGAGAAGGAGTGCGACTTGCTGTCAGTCATTAGACAGTGTTTAGCCGGATATAGCATTGCATAGGAGATACCTTCCTGGCGGAGCAGTTTCTTAACTCCCAAAATGGAAGCACACTGACATTGCACATCAGATGAGAAGTCAGGGAAAATGGAAATGCGGTTGCCATTACATTTTTAATACTCTGCAAGGCGGGAAGCATGGAGTATCGACATTTTGTCCCTGAAGCTAAGCAGCTTAGCAATCGGGTCTAGGAGTCACGCCAGCGGGGGTGCAGAGGGAGGAGTGCGATGCACCCTTTCAAACGAAAAAGATGGAGACGGGTCAAAATCAGGGAAGTCATGGTAGAATAATTCAGGTTATTTCTGGAACGCAAACAAAGAGCAAATTGTTGCGTCTGGAACAGTTCTCCAAATTGTCCAGTTTAGCTTTGCAGGCAGAAAGTTCCCTGAAGCACAGCAGTGTCTCTAGTAAGGGTATTCAATGTATCCTCTAAGGTGCCGAATCTGCCTTCAGTCTCTGTGATCCGATTCCTGAGGACCTGCATAACAAAGATAAATCCACATGCACACTCTCAATACGTGAAGCAAGGATGTCTTGCAATCAGGTATGGCTTCCATGACACACGCCAAAGGAGGCTCTGCAGGATCCATGGCATCGTCTGACCCTGCATCCCCCTCAGCCACAGCAGGTGAAGAAGTCACAACATGGCACCATTTTGAGGCCACTGGAAGCGCGCTAGCTTCTCAGCAGAAGACTGGTTCCTCTGGTACTTGATTTTCACCATCCTGGCTGCTGACATGCTGTAGACAGTGTAGAGATCTGTCGGGATCACTACAGAGCAATACAGATTGGCTAGGATAACTGGCCTGGAGCTGCAGCTATCAGCGTCAGGCCAGAAGCCAGGCCATGCCCCCCCTGCTTACTTGGTTAGTGCATGCAGGCCAACTAATGTGTAAAGCTGGCCATAGACTGTGTGAAATGTGCTCAGTGGTGGCCCTGTTGGCAGCCTTCCATCTGACATCCATCAATTCAGAAGCAGCTTCTTTTTTTTAGTTCTCCTCACAAGGGATGGGTGTCATGTAGTCCACAGAGATAGCAGGAAACAATGCTTGCAATAACAGTCAGCAGATGCAGGGAGCAAAGGAAGTTATTGGCTCACAAGGTTTCTTGAAAGATCAACAGGTATTTTTTAATTGAACACATAAAACAAAACACTTTCAATTGTATATTGAACAGGCCACAAGAGAGCAAATAAGAGACATTCATTTGCACATGTTTAAAAAGAAAAATAACAATGTCATACTTTTATTTTAAAATAACTGAAAAAAGTGTAAGCCCATAAAATAGCAACGTCTACTCTAGAATGATGTTGTTTACATTCAAGTTTAATAACCTTTCCCAATATAACACTGTATTAAAAATGCATACACATTTAAAATATATTAGATCATTTGTTATAGCCAGACAAGTTAATACACAATTTTAGTTATAACTTTATACCTTTGCCCCTTTTTATGTTGTCCTTTGAAAGCTGTACTGGGATCATCAAGGGTCTTGTTAATTTCTACAGTGTATCCTATTTCTTGAGAACATCGTTCTGACATTACAGGATTCTCTGCAAAAAGAGTTCTATTAAAAAGGCACACTTTGCATCCCTTTAAAGGATTTGTATAGTCATGACCCTAAGTTATCCCCAAACCCCTGTAATGAATCTCCCAGCATCAATTTAAAAAAAAGCCTATTTCTGGGGAGAAAAAAGTGCACATGTGTAAAGGACTTTGACATACCTGATCTCATTCCCCTGGCAAACAGTGATCACATCTCTGTGGACTGCCCTTCAGAGTATTCAGGTATAGTGCAGGGCCTCCGATTACCAGAGTGCAGGGGTAAAGAGGCTGGAGGAGCGGGGGATCCAGTAAGTAAAAGACCTTTACATAAAAGGTACCCCTAGACGTAAATGAGCAGTTAACGCTTGCTGTGCGGGGGGTAGCCCCACTGCAAGTAGTTTTTTACTTGGAAATATGCTTTACCATGTTCCGTTAGCAAGAGACAGCTTTTATTACTATCACTAGGTTTGTAAAATGTTTGCAGGGGCAGTTGCTGTGAGCCCAGTTACTACTGACATAGGCACACCCCAAAAACCACATTTCCCTAGAGCTCTTTCCCTGCACACAGTGTGTAGAAATGGGCATGTTTTGGTGTATAAAAAAAATTTATAATAATGATATATATATATACACACACACACACACACACACACACACACTGTATATACATATTATATATAATTATTATTTTTTTTATTTTGCTGTGACATACACCTAACATTTGTATTCTCCATGGGTGAGCTAATGATTGGCAGAACATTTTTTCTGTAAGAGATCATGATTTTAGAAAAAAGGTTTTCATTATAAATATTTGTATAATAATTATTATTTTTGATAATACAATAAAAAAGGTGACAAAGACAGAACAGAACTTTGCCATAATTTTTGGGACGGCCCCCACATAAAGGTTTTTGGTGCCAAGTAGCTACCTAGACCTGCATGCACTTTTTAAACTTCTACCTAATGGGCAACTCTAGGCATTGCTGAATGAGATAGCTAAAGATTCTCTAAAGTTGTCCAGTGGCTTACACTTTCACTGCAGTTGGCAGAAAAACAATATACTAGAATTGACATAATCAGCCCTCTCTATGCCAATTGCAGCAAAAACTACAAAATAGAGTGGATCAAGTCTGTGCTTGACAGATACTCTTACCAAACAATTTATTGACACTCAGCTTTCATCAGGACTTGAAATCTACACATAATAAAAATGTGGTATTACTCATGGTACCCAGGCATATACTCATGGGGCATATACTCATGGTACCCAGAGTATATGCTGTAGGGATCCACCAATCCTCTAACACATGACCTTGTACATGATTCGACATCTTTTAAGAAAGCAAAGAAGAAGGAAGAAGACTAAAACATTGATCCTTCTGTTCATGTAAGGCTTGATTTCTAAATGGAGTATATCTTTAATGCAATATACAACGTGTCATGCATTTTGACACAAAGTCACAGCAGGTGATAGTTTCCCCTCTGGCACTTTAATGCCTAAATCCACAGTTTGGCATGTTACATGTGGTATTTTGAGATAGGAACACTTCTTGTATAGCTACAGAGAGAGCAGAATGTAAAATATAACTTGGTAATAAGCCATACTAGCACTAAGGAGAATGTGAAGAAGGAAAGACAAACTTTGGCACATGTCCAGAATTCTACAACTTTCAGGAAGCTTCAAAATTACTTTAAAACAAATCAAGGGTACAAGTTCCTACTTGCTGGGATAAAACAAAGATAACCAACCCTACAGAAAAGTAGAAAAGAATATGCAGGGATATGCAGTAAAAGCTTCATATTTTAAAGTAATAGCATTTTATCAAGATTTACAACCTTATTTAAAGAGGATTTATAAGATAACTGGAAACAATCTCAATGACTGGAGCAGCTCCATGCTTTACCTTCTGCATCCCATTATCCTTACATTACCTGTCTGATGAACCAATTAAAAACATTGGCATTTATAGAGATACAATGTATGGCTCTGCTGCAGTACCAGTGTAGGTGACACTGCATGGGGATTCTGAAATTTCTGAGAAATATACAAGAAACCCCTTACAGTATGCATTTTAGGACATATCTCATACAACTTTCAGCTCCTTTAGAAACTGTTCTTCTTTCAAAACTCTGATGTTAGTCCTCCTCCATTTCTAGGAATTGCTTGAGATTAGATGCCGCTTGTCCTTCTCACTATTCTAGACATGGGTCAGGTGTCACTTGTCTTACTCATATGCCTATTTCAATCTTCCTCCAGACATAGTTCAAGTGTCACTTGTCCTCCTCACATGTCCTTCTCACTCTCCCTCCAAAAATGGGAGGACAAATACATCCAAGCAGGAGGGTAAAGAACGAGATTGTAGAAACAGAGGTGAAAAGAATTAAGTAAAAGTACATCTGAGCTGTACATAGAAGGAGGGAGGGGAAGGACAGAGAAGAAAGATGCCTGGCCATTCCATAGACAAGAAATAGCCTATCCTAGGTGAACAAATAAAAAGAACACCCCATTGAGAGAAGTAACACCCCAACAAACATTACAGCAGGGAGAAAGACATGTGAGGAAGACGAGTAACACTTGACCCATGTCTGGTGGAGAAGTGAGGACATGTGCGCACGGCAAGTGATACCTTACCCATGTCTGGGTGAAGAGTGAGAAGAACATGTAAGGGTGCCAAGTTACACCTGATCCCTTTTTTAAGAAGGAAAAGTGAGTTATGGAGGAGCACCAAAGAGGATAAGGCAATATGTCTTAAAATGTTACCACACAAAAGTTTCAAACTGGGGATTTTCCTGTAAATGATTAAATATTACTGGGAGTCAGCAGAAACTATGTCCTGGCCACCCTATCTCTGCATCAACTTAATTAATAAAGCTTTTATTATTGTAAAGCTGCGTTTTGTTAATAGAGAAAAGTTTTTTTTTTGCTATGGATTCAAACATTTTCAGTTATGACGTATTGAAAAGGAGGAGTGTCCTCATGTGTATCAATGTCTGTAATTCTTCCATAGGTATTTGATTGTTGGAGACTAAATAAACTGTGTTATATCATAAAGGTAGTAGTAAGGTTGCAGTAAGGTTTTGTCCTCAGTTTAGGATGCAGATAACATTGGGGAGTACTTATTCAAGCGGATAAAAGGTGACATATGATGATGCTATAGGGTACTGCACTTTTCTTTTTATTTGTTCCACCCTATTATGCAAGACCAATTATCTAATGCATATTGTAGAAGTGGCAGCTCTATGACCAATCCCTTTTCAAGTTATTTTATTTCAGCAGGTACATGCAGAGCTCTGTTTCAAAGCACTTGAATGACATTAAAAAGATATTTAGATTGCCAAGTCAGCTGAAAGGGGCTCGTTGTTTGCTCTGAAGCTTCTGGCCCTCTTAATCTCTCACTGTTGCTCTGCAATTAAGCTAGACTGTTATAGCAATGCTTCAATCTGTCACATTGCTTGCTTTCATCAGGTCATGTATGGCTGCTCATACTTTATACCTAATGTCTGCTGTGCAGAATATAGAGATGCTAGAGACAAGAAAGAATAAAAAGAGAGATACATTTTCTGTATCATGAAAACAATTATAGTTCTGAATGGATTTATAGCCTTTAAATTACTACTTTTATGGGGTGTGAGTTCGCACCAGCGTGTTGCAGTAACATGCGGTAAAACAAGCGCATCACTGTAACAGGTGGCATTGCCGCATGCATGGGTTGGTGTGCTGCCGTACCATTAATTATGGATGGGACTCCAATGCACTAGCTGAGGGAATCGACACAATAGGCCTAGCATTGCAGTGCACTGCAAAACAGTGCAACATGCCCTAACTTTCCTGCATTTCCCTACCTAAGTAGTGTAATGCAACCATTGTTTGAGTACATGCATGTAGACAGGAAGGGCTGCTAAGAGGCTGCAGAAGATCAGCAATACAACAATGCAACAATGGTAAAAACAAGAATTTTATTTTTTAAATGGCGATTGTTTCTAATATACAGTAGCAAACACATTGTCATTCATTTTGGGTTTATATGTACTTCTAGGCTATGTGTAAGGGCCACCAAGAGCAGGTAAAAGTCCACATGCCACAGTTTAAGGGTCCATGTACATCTGTCCTTACCCATTGAAGGATTACATGAAAGTCACTGGATCCGGCCATGAAGGTAGTCCCCCCTGACCCCACATGCCAGCCACTGTCGAGAGGAATAACATTTTGGCATGTTCCCATTAAAAAAAGATATAGTCTGCTAAATAGAATATGCATCTTCATGGACCAAACCCCCTGCCTGCAGGTGAATGGCCCTCAGACAAATAAAAGATCACTTTCAGTACTGTCACATCTCCATAACCTGAATGGTTTAGTATAAATTTAATCCAGTAATTCATTTTGTCTGATAATTATTGGCATGAATTGAGACTGAAGGTGGCCAGACTGTACTGAAACATTTGCAGAATGTCATGCTCATAATAAAGAACAGAGAGTCTCACTTAGGAATTAGTGGCTGTTAGTTATGAATTGCTGACTCAAGCATTTACTATTCACACCGCCAATTAGTGTGTAACCAAGGTAATTATAAAGCCATACAGCCTATTCAGACTGAATCAGTGATTTTGCAAACCTTGTTATCATTATGTCAATTTTGCTAGACTTATGACTTACAGGGGAGGCTGTACTGTGCTTATTAGAGCACATTGAGAACAAAATGGTAGATACGCAGACACCACTTTGTATAATACCCATGGCACTGCATGATCATTTGAAATGTCCAAAATGAATCTAATGGGTAAACCTTTATAAATAAAAGATTTTATGCTGAAAGTGGAAAAAACACATAAATCAGACAATTGAATATTATACAATGCGGTGGTTAATTTACTTACTGCTGGCTGGAACTGTGCCAAAAGTACTCACCATAGAAAAAGGTTCGTCATTCAGAAATTACCCAATTACTTACAGTTATTTTCTGGTACCATTATGTACACATTAGGATTTACACTTTAATTTTATAAGCATGTCCTATGTAGCAAACAGTTACTACATCTTACCTTTATATTAACAGGCTACGGGGGAAGCAATACCACAACTTGCTTTTGAGAATCCCAAATAGCAGTTTGTCTGAATGCCAGCTTATTACTTTATTGATATGAAGGAATGAGTTGGAACTCAGGCAGCACTGCACTTGCTATACTTTTCATGACTGATTTAGTAATAATGGAGTGGACTAATGATCAGAGAGAGGTGCTGGCAGTGATATTTCATGATGATGCCATTCTCTATAATGCTATTGTGCATGCGTGAGCCATCACTTTCATTGCAATGGTTGGGAAGCATGCTGGGGCCCCTGCATCAGAACCCATTCAGTCCTGCTTGTGCTGCACAACATAAAGGGATGATAAGCTAGCTGCTGAATAAAACCCATAGGTCGTAAACCACATACTGCCACAAAGTATGATATGCATACAGGCACTTGTGGGTGTCAGGATGGACATCCAGAGATACTCTGTGGATGCATTTTGACTGCTGCTTTTTTAAAATTATTTTTACTGCTCCTATGTGTAAGGAATTTCTGTTGTTCGATGAAAGAGAGTATCCACGGCATCCATTCCTGCTCATCAGTGCAGATGAATGAGACTCTGAGTATCAACATATAGAGGCACTCCAGGGATGCATTCTTTGGTAACTGGTGACACTCACCAACCTCCAATAGGCACCTGCCAGTCCATCTTCAAGACTTTACCCTGTACAAAGCTGCCCTGATAAAATATAACTCCTCCCTCCGTGCTGCCAAACAAACTTATTTTGTCACTCTCATTAACACACTCTCATCCAGACCTCGTCAACTATTTTCTACCTTCAAGTCTCTACTATGTCCTCTACCACCACCCACTAACTCACTCACTGCCCAGGACATTGCCATTCATTTCAAAAACAAAATAGATACCATTCGAGATCAGATCGCCACTGTCCAATCAACTGCTCCTTTTATTATAGAACCTGATCCTCCATCACACTTGTTACTTTCCTCTTTTGACCCTGTCACCACAGAGGAGGTTACTAAGCTTCTCTCTGACACCCACCTCACCACTTGCCCCCTGGACCCTGTTCCCTCAAAACTACTTCGGTCACCCTCTTACCCACATTTTCAATCTTTCCCTCTCTACTGGAATCTTTCCTACCCCACTCAAACATGCACTAGTCACCCCAATACCCAAAAAACCTTCACTGGACCCTACCAACCTCAATAATTTCAGACCTATCTCCTTACTCCCATTCACCTCTAAACTCCTAGAACGCCTCATCTACAACCGCCTGAGTTGCCACCTCGCTAATAACAACCTTTTGGACCCCTTTCAGTCCGGCTTTCGCCCCAAACACTCCACTGAAACCGCCCTCCTAAAACTCACCAATGACCTAATAACCGCTAAAAACAACGGCCACTATTCCTTACTCTTGCTATTAGACCTCTCTGCTGCTTTTGACACTGTTGACCACCCGCTGCTCCTCAAAAAACTCCACTCGCTTGGCCTACAAGACTCTGCTCTCTCATGGTTCTCATCCTACTTATCTACGCGCTCCTTCAGTGTCACCTACAATTCTAACTCCTCCCCTCCTCTTCCTCTTTCTGTAGGGGTCCCCCAAGGCTCAGTCCTTGGACCACTCCTCTTCTCCATCTACACCTCCTCCCTTGGTCAACTAATAACCTCACATGGCTTCCAATACCATCTCTATGCGGATGACACTCAAATTTATCTTTCCACTCCACAACTCTCCCCCTCAGTGTCCTTGCGTGTCACTAATCTACTAAATGACATATCAGTCTGGATGTCACAACATTTCTTAAAACTCAACCTTTCAAAAACTGAGCTCATGATATTTCCTCCACCCCGTGCACCTTCCCCCAACATTTCAGTTGTGATTGATAACACAACTATCCAACCCTCCCCTCATGCCAAGGTCCTAGGTGTCATCCTTGACTCGGACCTCACCTTTCTTCCCCACATCCAATCGCTATCCAAATCCTGCCGCCTTCACCTTCGTAACATCTCAAAAATACGCCCCTTCCTCACCAATGACACCGCAAAACTACTCATACACTCCCTTGTTATCTCTCGTCTTGACTATTGTAACTCCCTCCTCATTGGCCTTCCACTACACAGGATATCCCCCCTTCAGTCTATCATGAATGCAGCTGCCAGACTAATTCACCTTACCAACCGCTCAGTGTCTGCAACCCCCCTCTGCCAATCCCTCCACTGGCTTCCACTCGCCCAGAGGATAAAATTCAAAATATTAACAGTCACCTATAAAGCCATCCACAACTCTGCCCCCGGATATATCTCAGACCTTGTCTCAAAGTATCACCCTAAACGTCCCCTCCGCTCATCCATTGACCTCCTGCTTTCCAGCTCCCTTGTCCACTCCTCCCATACTCGCCTCCAGGACTTCTCTAGAGTCTCTCCCATCCTCTGGAACTCCTTACCCCAACCTGTCCGTCTATCTCCCACCTTGACTGCTTTTAGGCGTTCCCTAAAGACTCATCTCTTCAGGGAAGCCTATCCCACCTCAACCTAACCACTGAACCTTCACATTCTCACATAATTCATTCCCACAGCTACCACATGTATCATTTCCCCCTCCTCTCTTAGATTGTAAGCCCTCAGGGGCAGGGCCCTCCTTACCATCTTATCTTGAATTGTTTTGTAACTGTAATGTCTTCCTTATATTGTAAAGCGCTGCACAAACTGTTGGCGCTATATAAATACTATGTAATTATAATAATCTATGGTGGTGGCTTTAATGCCAGCATCTTCCCATTGGGCAGGTTGCATTGAACTTAGACACACAACACTGAATTAACTTAATAGGGAAATGTGGCACAGTTAAACTTCAGCATGGATTTGATGCCAAGATTTGAGAAGTACAAATTCAGCATAGAACACTCTGCCAGGGCTTTAACAAAGGCTCCTTCTGGCCTTTATGAACTTTAGTACTTGAATCATGATTGCCGGTTTAGAACAACCTCAACCTGTCTTCTGGTTCCCATTGTTGCTCTGTCAGCCTCCATCTTCAACCTACTCTTGTCTGGCTATCTGATACTTAGAGCCCTATTTAAAACATAGAGTGAATACCAAAATTTGCTTTTTTCATTACACTGCAGTGTTTACACTACACTGATCCCCTTGATTTCGACAGGTCAAGTATCTGGGACTTTTTATGCAAAATATCTATATAAAATCTTTTAGCATGCCTTAATATATCAGAACAGCTTATTCTTGTCTATGTCTCTATTCTCTATAGTGCAGTATATGCACATATAGTTTTAGCCTCACCAACTAACAAAGGACTGGTAGAAGAGAACAGTAGAAGCCATTTCCTTTTAGGCACTCTCAGATCAGGTCTCTGATTAGATGTGCAGTACAGCCCATTGAAGAAAGTCTGATAGGGGGGAATGAGCCACTTTCCGGACTCATTCAGAGAAGCATGTACATTTCGGCTTGAGAAGGTAAGCAGAGGATGTAAAAATAAGCCAAAAGCTCCACCTGCATGCAACAATATTTCATATATACCTGAAAAATAAATACAAATAAATATATTGTTTTTGAGTCCTGACCAAAATATATACACATAAAAAGAACATATATTGAAAACGGTAGAAGACAGAGCAATTCCAAAGACAAGTCAGGTCAGGTAACCAAGTAATCAAAGTTCAGGATATAAACACTAGTCTCAGAATACCTATAAGGCAATGAGGTGACTCTTCAATGAAGTAGTAGCAGATTGTGGAATCAGGATGCACCAAGATGAAGTATCCACAAGATGGCCCATAATCTAGTTTTAGGTTTGGGTCACGAACACAAAAGTACGCTGCCTAAAGCTAAACCTTTCTGCTCACCACCACCATATAAATGTTCTGAGCTTGGGGGCATATGTAAAAGAGGGGATAAAAACTGAATCATGGTGGGTATGGCATGGTTTTTTTCAAGATGTTGAAGGGATTTTTGAACATATCTATAGATAAAGCCGTAAACAATGTGCAAAGAAAAAAAACAAGTGCCAGTATTATCCAGGCCAGCTAGCTTCACAAACCTTGGTATGTATGACTCGTATTCCAGAGCTGGCGCCATATATTTATCCTTCTGCAATGAGTCATGTTGTTGTTATAAATATCACTGGTGTAATCTCTTTACTTTGCCATGTGATTTATTCTAGACTCCACTGGTAATAGAAAGGTTACTGTTATTGTGGTTTCAAAGGATAAATCACTTTATAAGACAGTGCTTTTACATTGGATCACACGTAATGATAATTTCACAGAGGACGCCATCAGAAATTACGGCACATCTACAAATGTTGTGCTCGGCATAGCAGGTTAATTGTTAAATTATTTGCCTCAGTACATTGTATTTGCCTGACAAGATGAATTAAAATCAATGAAGCCCAAGGAAATACTTGACTTGGCTGCCAAAAATCTATCCATCATGTTAACTACTGAGGTGTGCATACATTACTTTAAAATATGCATAGTCAAACTTGGGATAAAGTTGTCACTCTTCAGCCCAATTTTGGACCATGAACTGTGTATTTTGGAAATTGCCATGTCACTTGGCCCTCATTTGGGCCTACAGAACTCTAGATCATTGCAAGATAGAGTAGTAGTAGTAGTAGTAGAGTGTGAA